CTGCAGGAGCATTAGATTGATACTTGTAAAATTGAGTAAGATTGAATTAAAGCAGAGAGTTTGATAGTTTGGACTCCCTGTTGGAAACAACCTGCATTTCTCCCAGATAGCAATATTCAACCTGAAATCTTTTGTTTCAGATTTGTATTCTTTAACTTATCAGATTTCTTCTCTACAGCTCCCAGAGTGGCTGCTATCTCAGTCTGTTTATGAAATACATAACCCTTCAGATGATACTTTCTTTCAGTCCAGTTTTCTCATCCTCCCAGACAGTCTGTTCCCACCCCTGTAATTCATTGTGCTCCCCATGACATCCCAATAAACTAAGAGAAACTGCATGTCTCGTCCAATTCTCTGAGATTTTGTTGTATAAGGAATTGGTGAGCACCAGGTTACAGTTTTTCCCTTTCTAGTTTATGTCCTTTAAGATAAAAAAAAATAAAATAAAAAAAAAAAAAAGAGATAAACTACTTGAAAGATTTTACCCACCTCTGTGCTGTTGCTATTGCCAAAATCTCCATCAGTGCAAGAATCTCTCACAGGGAGTTTGAACTTTCCTTTAATCTAATCCATTTAGAAAATGACTCACAATATATTGAATAAAGTGGAGAAAATTGATACCTTTTCATTAAGCTGACAAAGTCTTTTTCACTTCTGACATGTGTGAAATGTGTTCTCTATTTAAATTTTATTTATATCAATCTTCACTGGTAGAAACGGGATTAAAACGGAATGCTCTGTGCTTACAGGGAAAACTTTCCCATGCTGCAATGAGTGTCATACTGGCTGTGAAAATGAGCTTATCCCTTGCAGTGACACGATACCTGTGATCAGGAGGAGCCACAATCTAATGTCTCCTTTCCTTTGTATTCTATTTCTGTATAAACAAAACGTGCCCACTTTATCACAGGCAAAACGAAAGCTTCTGTGGCTTTATAATGCCAACTGCAGAAACAATCTTGAAACATTTTAATACATAACATGTTCCCTCTAAACTGTTGAAAAATGCATGGTGATACTTTGCTCTGTTTCCATATTTCAGGGTATTCCATAAACGTGAATTAAAGTTATCTGTTACTCTGTGAGGATGGTCTTATTGTTACATTGTTAAATATAATGTCTTTATACTTTTTGCCATATAGGCTCTGTCATATTGTTAAAGCAGTTCCTAAATACAAATGCAGAAAAGTTAAGAATTTTATCTGCAAAACAAAACAAAATGCATTTTCTCTACAGACAGGAGTAGCAAAAATGACAGAAACAATTGCCTGTAAGTATCTGGGCTGTGTGTGCACATTTTCTCTGTCCATGTCCTGTTAATCATCTTTAAAACAGCTTTGAGGAACTGAGTAGCTTCAGTTTAATGCAAGAACTTGAAGACTGAGAAATGTGAAACATAATAAATTCAGGAGTTTCAACAGGCATCTTTAATCAAATGGATTGTGTATTATTTACAAACTTCATTTGACTCAAAAGGAGGATGATTGAACAATTAATGCTTCCATGTTGATTTGATCTTTTAGGTGTAGATATATGAAGGTGTTCAGTGCATTTCTACTGCCCCTTAATAGACTGCTTTGATGCTGAAATTCAAGGGGAAAACTTTTCCCCAGCCAGCTGCCTACATGCATCAAAACTTTGTGCTCAGATGATAACAAGAGCAAATCAAAGCACGGTCAACACGCTTGTGCAACCTCCAAAGGTTCTTGTGAACTTTGAACCCTGAATCCAAGCTAAACTGGCAGTTCCCTGCAGCTGCCTAAGGCTTTGGGCATTCTGTTTTTAAAATGCAATAGAATTGTGTAAACATGAGAAAATATAAGCTATTCTATTGCTTTTTCCCCGTATTCTATCTGATCTTCAGATTTTTTATTTGTAGTTCATTTATTTGGAGCCCATGATTTGCAAATGCCATTTCAACCAAATGCTTCTTTGTGTGTGTTAATCCATGCAGTCTGAATACATCAAAAGTTAAATATTTTGATTAAAATTATTCTATGGCTTTGCAGACAGAAGATTTTAGAAACGCGTGATTTGGGCTGAAAAGTAAACCTCAAGAAGTTCTTGAAGAAAGTTGCTTTTTTCCCCAGCTCCATTGGTGATATGTTAAGAGTTAAATATTCTTATAAAAGAGGCATTTTCTTGAAAATAGTTCAGATATAAACAATCCCTTTTTTTAACCTAGTAGATGATAGAGAAAAAACAAGCACTGAAAGAAAACACAAGCAAAGCAGGAATAGTCAAGGCTCTGTTCCACATCCTTTTCCTTTCCCCATGGCAGAGGGATCTGTCTCAATTCAGCCTTGCATGAATAAATTCCTGTGCTTTGTGTATTCCCCATACAGTGAGAAGAACACAATGAGAAGCACTCTAGAATGCTACAGGTGTGTAATTCAGCATGACATGAGCACTCACAGCCTGTGCTGCCTGGTGATTAACAGGAATCTCAAATTCTCACCCCGGATAAGTGGTTTGAGTCACTGAGAAGCTCAGGTTCCTCGGGATCTGGGAGTCCTTGAATAAAAACCACCCTGAGAGGGAGCATCTTAATTTGAGCAATTTGACCCAACTGCTTCAGCTCATCTCAAAGTGACATAGCCTAAACATAGAAAAGCTGCAGCATGTCCCTGGGGAAGGTTTCTCCCCTCCTCCTACAGGTGGGCCCAGTCTCAAATGCTGCAAACTGTGATTCATTTTGAAGTGTTTTCCTCCCTCTTTGAACAGAGCTGGAGGTGTAAAACTTTGAAATCAAGTAGAACTCAAAGGATCAGCAGTACCCAAGACAACTGGTCCTAAAGATTAAAAGACTCTTAATAGAAGAGAAAACCTATAAACACAAGATTCAAAGAAAGTAATTTTCTTTGGGTTTTGGACACCCCTGCCTTGGTAAGAGGCTAAGGACTAGACCACAGTGAACTTTCTAGTGCTTCAGACTTAAAAAGGATTTTGCCTACTTAAATATTAGATACAAAGAGGAGATTTTCATCTGCAAATTTCCCCCATTATAAAAGGAGTCTGGTCTTCAGCCCAGGTGAGGGTGCTCACTGATGGGTACTTGGATATAATTGCACTCTGCTAATAACATGTATGTATATACTAAAACCAATACATCACTACATGAGTCAGTTGCCACATAAATTTCAGCACTGACTTTGCATTTGATTATTTTTCAAGGTCAAGATCTGAATACTTGGGCTGTATTTAACAACATTCATAAGTAGTGAGATCATTTTAATTGCTATGAGCATCACTGCTTCTCCATGCTGCCTCTCAGTCTGTATTCACCTCAGATCTCTGTTTTACATGGTAAACTCTCCAGGCCAGGGTGTTCAGGTTTGTGGGGTTTAGTACCTTGCACTGTAGGATCCTTCTCTGTGGTTATTTAATGCTATAGCACTGCTCCTAGTGAATAATCATGATCACCACTTTTGATTCCATGTCACAGGATTCTTCTCACACATCCTGAGGATGCTCTGCTCTGATGATTGCTGTGAAGGCCAGTATTTTGCAGGATATGGTTTTTCAGTTTGCCCACTGCACAATCTATTATTGGAGCACAGATTCAGCCCTCATACTTTTCCTGCATAGCAAAGAGAGAGATCTTTTTTCTCTGCTGTTAGCAGCATCAATGATACCCTTCTGAAACAGGTGTGTGAATAGCATCATTAAACTGCCTTGCCAGCACAGGTGTAAAGGGCTTTTTTTGTCTCTTGTATATATGAAGAAACGATATATGATAAAAATCAGATAAAAGCTGTGGGAAGAACCAGGAAAGACAATACTGAGAGATATATGATCATTGTAGGGCCCCTCAAACTGATCTATTCTATTCAATTTTATATTCATGAATTTAATTATAGGCTCTGTAATGTCCTTAAATCAATGCATGCACAACAGGGCATTTTCCAGAGTTGAATGGCAGTCAGCTGGTGTATATATATTAATACATATATATATAAGGTAGACAGCTGCTTCGAAGGTATTTTGTGGGCTTGAAGCAGCCATGAGGAATGATATGAACGGGTTAAGCATCTCTCTTTGAGTGACTGTGCAGAAAACTTAGACAGGCTTCCTGAGTGCAACCATGAAATTAATTCTTGCCAGAGAAAGCAAACCACAGAAAGAACCACTCACGAGCCAACTCGTCACAGTTGCAAGGTTAGCTAAAGTTTATCAAAATCCCCAGACAAAAATTGTCATTAAGATACAGCTAAGGGGACAGTCAGATACCAATTCCCAGGCAAGAAACTTCATTAAGGTACATTCAAGGTTGTAAACATATGTGCCAATTAAATTCAAACAACTGGGTCCAAACACTGCCATTATTTACAGTGTTAAATGTTTGGAAATCAAAAGTTACTTTTAGAGATAATATGTTTTGTATAAAATACATAATATGTTGCTGTTTCAACCAACAGCTTCTGCTGCTGTTCTGGATTACCTTACCCTCTGTTTCTAGTTGTGGTGCTCCCTGTGATGGCATATTGGGAAAGCCAAAATTCTCCATGGATTCAAATAATTCTGGGCAGATTTGTAGTAAAAAAATCCAGCTGTAGGTCCTGAAAGCAAAGCAGACATCGTTTTATGTGGAGTACACTGAACCAGAAGTCCTGAAGACATGGAGATTATTCTGAGGACAATCTCTTCAGACTTGCCTTGTTCTTGTGCACGCCTGTGAAAATCAGATTGGCACTCAGGGAGAAGAGCTTTTAGGCTGGATGGTCCTTTGGTCTGCAGCAGAGTTGCTGCCATCACAGCATTCCCTGCAGCCACAGCACAGGAGCAGACAAGATCTCCTGTGTGAGGAGGCTGTGGCAAGCAGTGCACTGTCTTAGGCAGTATAGGATGCCAAACAAGTAATTAAATATGAAATCCTTACAGCTAAACTCCAGCTGAAGGGACACTCTGCCTCTTTAACTTCAGTGTTAGACCCTTGAGATATTCTTTAATTAGATTTGGTCATTGTAACATAGTTGTGAACATTGTCTTTTCTCTTCTAGCTTCTATAGTGATTGGGAAATGGTGGTGTGAGATGGAGCCCTGCCTAGAAGGAGAGGAATGTAAGACGTTGCCTGATAATTCTGGATGGATGTGTGCAACTGGCAATAAAATCAAGACCACCAGAGTAAGTCTCCTTTCTGTCTGCATCCAGGAGGTCTTAACAGGAAAGGGAATCCTTAATGACTGCTCACCCATGTCTTTTCCATCATTATGCCTGCTGTAAAAGTCTTAAAGACTACTGTCGTGATCAACCAGTGCTTCTGGCCATAATTGGGTGAATTGGATCAGGTTGGTCAGCTGGGTCCAGGCTTGGTAATCAGCAAGTTGGAGCTGCTGAATTGCCAGAGATTGTCATCTTACAGAGACTGTCATCTCAAAATACCCCTAATGCACATCACTGAGTCCCTTTCTGGTGGCTAAAGGGAAGAACATCAGCTTAGAGGGATCTGCTAAAACCTATATCCATTTCTTGGCTGTTCCAGGCAACATCTGGATTAGCAGCTGTACAAATGCTTTGTAGCAGAGGACTCAGCTCTCTGTTTGCCCTGCAGGACTCACTTCAGAACAGCTCCAACCCCATGAACTCATTAGTGACAATCTCTTGAGATGCTGCAGGTTCAGGTAGCACAGGCCAACAGGTGACGACAGCTTTCACCACACCGTGCCAGGAAAAGGCAGAGAGAGGGTGTGAATGAGCTGCCTAAACTCCCACTATGAGATTACCTTGGGAATAAAAATGTTTTTCAAAAATAGACTCTAGCTTTTCTTTTGCATTGTGTGATTGTTTCACAACCATTGTCTTAAAATTGTCAACTATACCTGTATTCAACAATTTTAATTAACTAATTTTCATATCACAATTGAAATTTTTTTCCAAGAAAATGACATGATTGTCAACTCAAAATGCTTTTATAAACATAGAGATTTTGATTTTCTTTGAATTGAAAAATGGCTTTGAAACCTGGTAAATGTAAAAGAGCGAATTTTCAATAATTTTTCCCCTGTTTGATAAGAAATTCTACACATTCATGCCCAGCTCCTAATTCACAGGAATGCGCAGTGTAGTGTTTTGATTTCTTGACTTTTTCCTTTCTCTCCAATCCTACCTAACTCCAGTCATTTTTCATGTCTTCTAGGCCTCCTGTTGAAGGAGGAGATTTTACTCTAATTGATCCCCATGGCACCTGAATCCTTTTCTTTCCCTCCATAGGACCTGCCCCAGGATGAATGATTTGTATTGCAATCCTCATTTCTGGAGCAGAGCCTTCTGCCACACCAACACATTAAATGTTCAGGAGACCTACTGACTTAGGAGGTTTTCTTTGTAGGAAGTGGCCCCCAAAAACAAGATCCATGTGATCTCTTTGTCACCTCCCAGAGAAAAGGAGGAAGGAAGGAGGCAACTGGGATTCCCTGACTCAGTTTCTTTCTGTGGTGCTGTTCCTGCAAATCTCTCTGTGCCCACAGCTGAACTCTTCCCACTGCAGCACCACTGGAAGGCTGTGTCCTAATGAATGTGCCTTGCAGTGAAATTTAAAAGTCCCAGACCACAAACTCACTACGTGTCCTTTCCAGTGAGGAAAGTGTGGAGTTAAAACGGAAGAAAGTGATGTGGGAGAACTAAGAAGCAACATGAAGTTATCTTACACAATCATTCAGCCCTTCTGCAGTCTGTCTACAACTTACATAATTGAGGAATTGCATTTTCTTCCTTCAGTGAAGCTGTCCTTCTCTTAACTCCCCCAGTCCTCATCATATAAACTAGTTTAAGGCAATAGAAGTGATTGCTAGAAATTTAGGAGCTTCATTAATATGCAGATGTATGGTCCAATCTATTCAGTATGCATTATTGTATTTCATTTGAATTAAATACTTGCAGAGTGAGTGCTCATAAATGAAAAAATATTTCTTCATTTACCCACAGGAGTTATTTTAATTAGCTTATGAGGGGAGTTCCTTATGGTGCTGCTTCCAGTAGAATTTTGCTTTGTTGCTTTAAAATATCATTACAGAACCCAATTGACAAAGGAAACATGACATGATGTGCTCAGCAACTGTCTCTTGGATTTTCTAAGGAGAAATTCTACTTCTTAGTCCCTGGAACTTTGCTTGAATCTGTACCACTCTGTTAAGTCTAGCAACATAAATATAAAATAATGGAAGCAATCAGATACTGAAACAGGTTTTTTTTTTTTTCCTCCTTTGTTTTGCCATTTCAGACAGCAGCAGAGAACAAGATTACAATGTAATCTGCCCTGACCACAATCCAGGTTCCAAGACTGGGCTATGTGTGTCTAATTTGAGTAGTTAAGGAAGTTAAGAAAGCAGAAGAAACAAGACAAATCAGTCAAGATCCCAGCTCTCTCTTTGGTGATTAGGCAGAAGGCTACAGCAAGTCTCCATAGGCTGTAAACTGTTTTGATGAAGGCTTTTCCTTACACTAAATACATTTATGTTAGCTGCTGTCCTGATGAGGAAAATATTCCCATTTGTGACTCTTGGGATTAAGATACCCATTAGTACATTCTTCCAGGCCCACAATAAATCACATATGAGTGTGTGTGTGTATGTTCATATATATATTTATGAGTACATGGATATACACAATATGTATCATTTTCTAGGGTAGTGCATAACTTTATGGTTGGGTCTCAGATGTCATTAATACTGATTAATGTCAAAAGAAGATGAACAGACCCAGTGAAGTCTTTACCAGTACATTCTTCATTCCTTCCTTTTCATGCATTTATTTCTGTGTTTAGCCCTTTAGCATAGCTCACTAATTAAGTTTTTAAAGCCAAAGTTATAAAGCTCACAGCTTCCCTAAATTGATTTTTTTTTTCTGTTGATGGTCAAGCAGGTGACAAACACTGGAAGGAAATAATATTGTCATTCAATTTTTGGAGCAGTGTCAATGTTCTTCTAATCCCTCATCACTATTTTTTTTTTTTTTATTTATTTAAGAATTTTCAGTGCTTTCCTTAAAAATGTGGGGCCCTTGGAGCTGTACTGAGGTCACCTTGCCACTTTCAGCACAGCAGCTGGCACCAGTGGCAGTAGAAGAGCAGCAGCTCAGGCTGGATGCTGCTGATATTTTGGAGCATGGAAATTAATGTGTTGACCAGCTGGGAATGGGCAGAGGAGCCCAGCTCCAAGCCCCTCTCGAGTTTCTCAATCTGTGCCTTGTGTTATAGCCTGGTTTCATCAGTTTTAACAAGTTTCGGCCCATCTGAACTGGTTCTGAGCCGTTTGAACTGGTTTTGATGGGTTTGATTTGGTTTGAACTGGTATAAACTTATTTCTACCATTTTTATCCTGTTTTGACCAGTTTAATCTGGTTTGAGTTTGTTTTGACCAGATTAATCTGGTTTAAACCATTTGTTTCAGTTTTAACTGGTGGGATTCAGTTTCATTCCATTTGAACTGTCTGGATCTCATGTAAATCTCTCTTGCTTTAATATTTACTGCTGTATTCAATCACCTCGTGCTTAGATAATAATCTGTAGCCCTGATTTAATTCCAAGCCTGACCATATGCGAGTCATCGTGAGTTTCATTGCTGACCCAGATGCCTGCAAAGCACTGGTGTTCCTTTACCATTAAATGGTAAGCCTCGTGGTGTTCATTTACCTGAACCAGTACAGGAAAGAAGCAAAAACATAACAAAAGCTTGAGAGCACTACTTTTTTGTCAGGCAGTTTTTCTTATTTCAGCATCCTAAAAAATCTCCTGGGCATTGGTGTTTCCCCTTGCAGCACACAAATCAGTTTTGGAGGTAGTCACAAGGAGGGATGGGTTTTGGTCTGTTATCACACCCGAGGTGAGTAGATGGAGTAGCTGCTGTGGTCTGTCACTACCCTGCCCTCTGGGGAAGTGGGTTGGAGGAGTTCCAAACAAACCTGAAAGGTGGATGGATGCTCCTGCCTGTCTTGTCCAGCAAAATTCACTGGAATCAGTCTGGAAAGGGGAGGGTGGAAGGCTGGGGTGAGCACAGCCCCAGACCCAAATCTGTCCTGGCTTGGCCTTCTTGCTTGAAGGGCTCCTGCAAGGAAGATGGAGAGAGACTCTTTATAAGGGCATTAGAGGCTTCAGACTGACAGACAGGAGGTTTAGGTTGGATATTAGGAATGAATTCTTCCCTGTAAGGGGGGATGAGGCTCTGGCACACAGGCTGCCCAGAGCAGCTGTGGCTGCCCCTGGATCCCTGGAAGTGTCCAAGACCAGGTAGGATGAGGGACGGAGCAACCTGAGATAGTGGAAGGTGTCCCTGCCAAACCAAGACATTCTGTGATTCTGTGATGTCCAGCACACCCAGCCCAGGTGGTTAATGCACATCCAATATCTGCCAAGGCAGAGGCAGGATTTTGCTCAGGATCTGTCTCTTGCAGTGCTAGAAGACACACACCCCTCTGGTATTGCATTTAAATTCAGCTATATCAATCAGCTATATCCCACACAGCCTTGGTTCTTCTTTTCCAAAAGACTATATTTTAAAAATAACACATTATGCATAACTGACTCTTTCCCATTTTCTCACTGCAGATCCACCCAAGGACTTAACAGAGCACCCACGTCTGCACTGAGACAGTGAAAGCCCTGCTGATTTATGAGGACAAAGTATTGAAAGTTTAAAACCATCTCAGCATTTTCCAAGCCAAATGGATTTCTTATTTGCACTTTGACTGTTTACCAGAAAACAACAGTGGCTTTACTGTGTGAAGGAAAGGATTCGGTGGAAATAATGACCCTGATATTTGACAGCTGAAAATAAAAAATGAAGAAAGTGGTTCCTTTGGTAAAGTTTCTGAGATTGCAAAGTACAAGCAACAGTATAAGTTTGGATCTACAATTTACTTTATACCAGTTAAAGTATATATATATATATATATATAAATATATATATATTAATATATGATATTTTGAAATAAAAGCCTCACTCTTCAAGAAATTGAATAGTACCACACTTTGCTGCAGCTGCTGTATTTTTTTTCCCTTTTTTGCAATGGTCTGGAAGTTCCCTACCTGTTTGAGAGAGAAATGTGGCAGTGAAGAGGCAAAGCAAACCTGCTGTGGTACAAGGACGCCTGAGAGCTACACGAATCCTACCGATGCAGCATCCAGAGCTTCCCGTTCCCTTCGGCAGAATTTTGAGGGCATTTTGTTGTTCCACTTTGTGTTCTGGAGGCTTTTCCCCTTGTGCAATACTAGCATGCTGGCTTTGCTTCATTAACCATACTTGATTGATATATAACGATGATAATTCTATCCTCCTCCAAGAAAATATTTTTAGAGCTGTTAGATATTCCATGAAGAAGAGATGGACAGCTACTGAGTGAAGTACAGTATGTATTAAAAGTTTATTTGGCTGAGTTTGGTAGACTGTGAGCTCCCTTCTTATTAAAGATGTACTGTACGTACAATGTCTTCAGACTTTGTATAGCTCATAGAGACTGCAGTAAAAACCCAGTAACCACCTCCTAAGCTTTGCATTGTTGGCTCACTAATTCTTTGAAACAACAACAAAGCTACTTCTTTCCAGAACGGCACGTGAGGGGAGTTTTTCATATGGTTTGGTGTTTCAGGAGCCCATTTGCAATTGGTGAACAGGCACCTCAGCTTAAGCATGCCTCTGTGGACACCTGGCTGTGGGCTCTAACCCCACAGCACACATGGGAAAACTACCTAAATTTAGGTTTCCCTTATTACAGGCCAAGCTAATTCTCATTAGAGCATTTGCCACCAGCTAAAAGCATACACATAAGCAATTCCACAGCATAGCAAAGGCCCAACAGTTTGTGGCAAACACAAACTTGCGGCTGATCCCTTCACTTTGAGAATCATTTCCTTTGGTTTAATTTCAATCTGTTTCCTGCTATGGTGAATTCAGCTGGGCTGAGATGCTCCTCAGCAAGGACGTGTCCACAGAGACCTTGACCCAGGCGAGCAGCCTGAACTCCCATTTCTGGCTGAGCTGCAGCTGTTCACCAGGCAGTCTGGCCCTGGCATTGCTGAAGGAAGATCAAATCTGAGGACTAAAATGTGCGAGCCTAGTTCACATTCCCAGGCACTTTTGTCAGCGGTCCAATTAATTTCAGGGGGTTTATTGGTGTGGAAAAGTGTCTTGCTGTCACGCATAAGTCTGCACAATCTACCCTTCAGTCCGCCTAATGCTACCAAATCAAGGAGGAATAGGGAATTGTAAAACTAGTTCTGTTCAGTCCAGCTTCATTCCTTTAATATTTCCAATTTCCTTTCAGCCTGCTTACCTGTCTCTCACAGGATGCCTTCGGCCATGCTGATCACTTTTAATCCAAGGCAGAGAAGTGCTGCACTTCCCATCCTAGATTTGGTTGAAATTTTCCCACTGAGTTTCTTTCTCCTTCAGGGTAACCACTTCAATCCTGATGCTTCAAGAGGCAGAAATTGTCACTGTAATTACATTGTAGATTAAAGCAGCTACATGACGTGTCACGCCATATTCCAGGCTGGCTTTCCATGCTGATCTTTTCCCAGTGCTCACAGTGGAAATGGATAAGCTGTTTCCAAATACTTCTATTATCTCCCTTCAAAAATGTGAGTGAAGATTATCCAGGGAAAAAACAGATGACCCAGAAAGTGGTAGAATCCCATCCCTGGAATGTTCAAGAAAAGGACTCAGTGTGGCACATGGGGACATGGTTTAGTGGTGAAGATGGCAGTGTGAGGTTAACAGTCGGACTTGGTGATTTTAGAGGTCGTTTCCAGCATTAAGAATTTTGGTTCTGGGCACAGAAGGGAGAGTGAGCCTCACCATCACTTGTGAGTGATGGTGAACCTTGCACATGGAGACCCTCCCTGGTGGCTCAGCTGGACAGGCTGGGTATTTTCTGGGGACAGCCACCTGCCCAAACCATAGAAGATATCTGGACCCTCCTCTATATTTTAGATGTAGTCTGCCTTGGACACGTGTCCCCAGTACTGTTATCTCAGTTCAGAGGGGAACACTGCCTGCCTGCTTACCCCCAAATGGATTATAGGGTCAGCTCCAGGTTCAGCTGCCACTAGTAAAGAGAAACTCCTCCAAAATAAACCCCTAGCATTTCTGAATTTTACTCAAACAGCACTTTGTAAGCCCCAAGACCTCCTCCAGCATCCCTTGGTGCACTAGGAGATGGAGCAGCAGGTAAGTCCATTCAAAGCCAGGATATGTTATCAGCCTTTTACCAGCTGGAAGTGAGGCACACAAAGCTAAACAGCTTCCCACAATCACACTGGGGAGCTGTGGAAAATCCAGCAGAAATTGAAATTTGGTTTCCTTATTCCCAGTCTAGTGACACTCTGAGGAGCCCCACAAACAAGCCCATGTGTGGCCTCTTGTACCCTTTGCCAAAGCCCAAGGTGTCACCACTGGGAGGTTTTTGCCCCACAGCAGAGCCACAACCGTGGCTCATCCTGTGAGCAGATAATGCTGCTTGTGCTGTGCCTATGAAATATGCCTGTTGAGATTGGGAAATATTAGACTTGCTAAAATATCAGAAGGAAATGTTGCCATTACCACAGGAAAGTTTCTTTGAGATGTTTATGAATTTTTCTTTGCCGGTAGGCAGCCTCAAATACCACCCCACCAAACTCAGTAAACATCTGCGTCTCTTTGAAGCTGCCGCAAAAATCTGCTCGTGAAGTGCAGCATGGAGAAATTGCTGTTTTAATTAAAATGTTTTAGAGGGCAATTAAGGCCTTTGCAAAAATAATGACTGATAGAACATGAAGTCCAATTAAGAGTCAGATGCAACTAACCTTCATTGTTTCAGGGAACCAAGTTGAAAACAATAATAAAAAAGAATTCAACAAGCCTAGAGTCACAAATATTCTGCATTTCAGGGATGTTCACAGTAGCACAGTGTGTAGCAGGAAGATGTCAGAGCTACTTATCCTGGCCAATGGAAAGCAGATGTGTTTCAGTGGAGGAGTGAATGGTCCTCATATCCTCATGGGAAAGTGACAGCCATGCAAAATGTTAAAAGGTATTTATGTTAACAGAGGAGAAGATGAAAGTTCCTGCTTTTTGGCAGAAGTCTAGACAGACACTTCAGGAAATGAAGAAAAAAAAAAGAAAAAGAGTATTTGTAAATGCATCAAAGATAAATTTAGATTTATGTCAGTGTTTCTTCCAATGTGTGAAATTAAGTTCTGTAAATCTAAAATGTACAAGTTGGAAAAAAAACAAAAACAAAAAAAGAGTAGCTACCATCTGCCTATTAATTCAGAAAATTTAGATTATATGTTTCTGTCCAAAAATTTCTGGTAATAAAAAGCTCAGTGTGGTATGACATGATATTCTTTTGAATATACTGTATGCTATATAAAAAAAAGCCAGAAATAAAACCTTGAAGGACGTCCACTCCTATGGCCAACATCAGGAACAGCATGATGTGGCCCATACTTGGCACTACACAGAGAAAGGACAATGAAAAATTGCTGAAGGTGAAGCAGTTTATGATGAGTGATGCTCTTATCAGACCTATTGATTGACTATTAGCAGAGTTTGCAGGTACTGTCAGTGGTGTACTGCTTGGATGTTTTCCTATTATAAAATGATTGGTTACCACCCTAACTCTCCTCATTCATTTGCCACTTACCTGTTTCACTGGCTGGTCTAAATATAATTACAGATCATAGAGAAGTTGTGGAGGAGATAAACATTGACTTAGAAAGCACATCCATTTCATCTGAAGGTGTCAGGCTTTGTTTCTTCTTCTTCAAGGGCAGGATGAATTTTGTGGTCTAAAATGAGCTTCTCTTTTATCAACACCTCAGTCACATCCCAGTAAGCAGGGTTAAGAGCTTGCCTGACAAAGAAGTGGGTCATGCTTCTTTGCTTGGTATTCTATTTTTTCGTCAGAGAAAAATAGAAACATGTTCCACAAATAATCTTTCAGGTAGACAGAAGGAGATGTGTGTACAGGGCAGTTGGTTTCAGGCTGTCAACACTTTTTCTAGTTCACTGGCTTGAATTCAGATCATAGGCCTGACACATATTTATGGTTTCTTCTCTCAGAGGCTCACACAGTCAAAGCACTTAACTTCACAAATATTTGTACTTTATAAAACCATGCTGCTCTGAGGAAATAAACTGAATCCTCTGCTTTCCAGGCAGGAAACTGAAACTCATAAGAGCTGAGACCTGCCCAAGGTGATGCTAAAAACCTGCAGCAGGCCCAGCAGTAGAACTGAGGGCCCCTGGATTTCAGGTCATCGCTGAGGATGGTTCACCTGTGATTCACATCAGTGAAATTTCATTGAGATCAGACCCTGGCTTTGAGCTTGACTCTCAGAGAGCAGAATTAGGGGACCTGCAGTCGAATGTGGGCAATTGTGCAGGCACCAACTGACCAGAGCTTGTGCATCTCCCTTCAGTGGGGATTTCCAAGCCACTGATGCGTGGAAGATCACCACCAGGTCTACTCCAACACCTTTTGCTCCCACAGGGACACAGTCCTGCCTTAGTTTGGTTTGTCTGACATGTACCTCTAAGTCCTAATTCAGAAATGTGCAGAGGTCTTTCCCACATAACAGACCTGGATATGGCATCTTTTCATCCAACACTCATGGCTGGATTATTTTTGTTTTCCCACCATGAAGCAATATGATCCAATTGGTCTGACCATAAACAAAATACATGTTTGACCATCAAGTTACTAACCTGTTTCCCATTATTTCTCATCTGTTTTATTTCTCAGATTACTGTCCTTGATTCCGTTAGAAGTGAGTGCTAGGGGCACACCTAGATACAAAGCAAGCTATGTATAACCTAAAATACTGCTCAGGGGAATATGTAATTTCTTCCTCCCACCTGCCATTCCTCTTCATTTCCGATTTCATTTCACTTTCATTTCATCCCATCCCCTCTCTTTCACACCACTCAATTACATTCATCCATCTCTATTATCACCACTACTGCCCCACAGACTAAAGAAGAGACCCCTTTCAGGGAGCTGCCCCCCACAGCCACAGTGATTTATGTGATCTTCACTCTTTCCTGTGTACTTTGGAAGGCGAGATGCCAATCTGTGCCAGCAGCTCCCTGTATTTCACTGCCCAGACCAGCAATCCCCAGCTCAGGGCCACAGGGTCCCTCTCAGGTGTGCCCTGGCTACAGAGCAGGTGCTGCTGCTCCTTGATTTGCAGCAGAGGAGTTAAGTGTCAGCTCCTCACCTTCCCTGAACCCGCTCTGTTTGTTGCTTTTCCAATAGTCCCCTCTGCCTTGACCAGTTGTGAGAACTCGGCACACCAGCTATTGGGGGCTTGCCACCAGTTTAAGCCTCTGCAGGAGGGAAATTTATCACTACTGATTTGATCAGACTTTTTTTGGACTTGAAGTAAAACGTGAAGAACTGGCCAAGCCACTGTGAAATGCACAGTGTGGAATCCAAGCACAGGCGTAGACCCATTTAGATTGGAGAAGACCTCTAAGATCATCAAGTCCAGTCATTAACCCAGCA